GGGGGGGGACATAATGGGGGTTCTTTATTCCCCCCTGGCCTGCATCCAGCGCTGCCTGGGATAGGCTCCAGGTCCCATCGCGACCCCGTCCTGCATAAGCTGCTGGAAGATGGATGGTTTCCCTGTTTTAATTATCCGACATGTATTTTTTATTTCAGTCTTGGTACATAGCTAGATTAGAATGAAATCCATATATCAGGCAGTGGTAGATATAACAATGTCATGCGATAAAATGCATGTCCACTAAGATTGTAGAGCTGCAGCTATGACAGGGATGATGGAGTTTGCTTTGGAACACAGTCATTCCTTCGTTTAAAAGGGGTTCAGGTGCTTGGACCTACTAACCTTGTGATTTGTGGGTATCTGTTTATTTTAAACGCCTTTGAACTTTAGCATATCGGATTCTGTTTGTGTGGATCGCCTTGTGGCTGTGATTACTGATCGCGATATGTGTCTTTACTTAAATGTCTACGTGTGTCAGATTACCGATCGCGATATGTGTCTTTACTTAAATGTCTACGTGTCTCAGATTACCGATCGGAGGCCTGTTTTGTGACGTCACTTTGGATAAAAGTATCTGCTAATCAGGTGAAGTTTGTCAGACCTCCACACATGATCGCTGGGAGGAGCAATGTGGGCCTCCCCATCCTTTAATGACCTGTGCAGTCAGCCAACGTTCCCCAGCGCGGGGTGGGGGCGGCCTGCTGAGTAATACCCCCCTCACCTACCGCCACGTGCAGCCCATGCCGCGAATCGGCACAAATAGCCTCGGCACGCCACGGTGTGTTTCTCACCTTATTTTGAAAGAAAACAATTATCGAGTAACAACAAAGCATTCTGGGAAAGAATACTAATAATTAAATTGGCTAACCGGAGGCGTTCTTTAACATGCAAGAGGAAATCGTCTAATGCCACGGGTGTGCAAACATTTTCCCACTTATTGCCTTCTGATTGATGCTTGCTGACATCAGAATATTATGCTATTATTTTTAGCTGAAGCCATTTCCTTAAATCCCATGTTGCACTGCAACTTTTCTGCACTCTTCCCAATACCAGCATGCATTGTGTGATTCTGCAATTTGGAAGCCCTGAAAACTAGACAGAAGATAGAACTTTCCGGGAGAACTAAGTCTGTATGGTCACCAGGTGCTGAAACCGACTTAATGGAACCTAATGATAATAATACAACTGACAGCTGTTTATAAAACTCCTCATAACGATGCAAAGTGTTTCCTTCAGTCCTTTGGCCTTAATGTAAATATTCACGGCAGGAAATCGATTCTAGAAGTAAGACCAGTGTCGGCTAAATAGCCTCGTTTGATTGTGAAAACTTTCTACCTTTCCGAAGTATGTCTAAGAGCAGGACAAGGAGAGAAGAGCGGCCGCCCTTTTTGTCTTATTTAATGAGGATTTAAAAGGAAAAAGACGTCTCATCCCCTGCCCTATCTTTTGCTTACACACCTTCTTCCGTACTGTGTTAATGAGCAGTGCAGGATTCTCAGCCACTGTTTGTGTCTCTGCTATTGATTCGCCTGGTTATTGATCCTGGGGGGGGCTGCCAGGCTTTATGAAGGCCTCCGACGGGGAGTCCGCACTGCATTAAGCTGCAGAAGCAGAATTAGTTCTGCTAATAATAATAATAAAAAACTGCATCACTTTTTTTCCCTGTCAAAGTGCAGAATTAGTCAGTAAATGTACGAAACACTTTTAATTTTAAAGAATGAAATGGAAAAAGGATTAAAACTACAATGTGTCAGCATGACTAATTTTCCCAGAGTGTGTGATTAATTGTGCCAGTTTGTACCCTGGGATAGATTGGCATTTTGTGCAGGGTGCCCACAGAATTGCGCCCTCTGCTTCCCGGAACAGGCTTCAAGAGCACCCTGACCATGTACTGGAGATGTGGTGGATGGATGGATGGATGGATGATGAATTATGCCATTTAGCTGAATGAAGGAAAGAGAGTTATCAAAATCTGCTTTATTGTTATCCCTATACTTTGCCTCTATATGTGGTCAATGTATGACTGTGTTTGGCTTCTGTCTGTGATCAGAAGGTCACTGGTTTGAATCCCACACTTGATACAGTATCTGCATCTCTGTTGAGCCCTTGAGCAAGGTCCTTAACCTCCCAAGAAATGTTTCAGGGGGTGTCGGATGGACAGCCAGCCCTGCACTTGGATCCACAGTTTCTCACTCTCACCTGTGTGTGCGCGCGTCTGTAAAAGCAGAGCATGATGGGACATGCAAAAGCTAGCGATTCCAGTTACCCTTTATGTTTTCCAGGAGAGCTGTACATCGGGGGTGTCGCCAGAAGCATGTACAACAGCCTGCCCAAGCTGATCGCGTCCCGGGACGGGTACCAGGGCTGTCTGGCCTCCGTGGACCTCAATGGGAGGCTGCCGGACCTGATAGCAGACGCTCTCCACAGGGTGGGGCAGGTGGAGCGGGGCTGCGACGGTGGGTCTCACGCCTCACATGACTGTCACATGACTGTCACATGACTGTCACATGTTCAGGGGTGTTTCTCAAGACCACGAATGCGCCGGTCCACGTTTTTGCTCCCTCCCAGTGAGCAAAGAGGGAGCAAAAATGGAGACCGCCTGTACATCCCCGAGGACCGGATCGGGAAGGAAAAACGGGGGTTGTAACAGGGCCTGGCTGGGGCACTGACGGACCCCGGTCTCAGTCCTGACGCCACGACTGTTCACAGCTGGGGTCTGTCACCTACGATCAAGTCACTTTTACTTACCACATAACATTATGTTTGTCACCTTAAACGCGAGTGTGTTCGAGGACCACTTTCTAAGTTGTAGGAAAACAAACCATAAATCATTGTAAATCATTCTGTGGTGACTTGCTTCCAGTTTTCCAGATTTGCCCTCTACCGCACGAAATAAGCTTGTATTGATTCGCGGCTGATTGGTTTCAGGCAAGCTAACGGGAAAAGATGAAAGACCAAATTAAACGCCAGCTCAGTTAATAAGCACACGCCTTTAATTTCGCACAAGTTTCGTGATAACAGCCGGTCAGGAGTTGGCTACCTTCCTGGCTTCCCGTGACAGCTAGCCTAGGGAAAGGCTCATAGCCAATCAGGTGTTCATTACCTTTGCTGTCGCCATGACAGCTAGCTTGGGGAAAGGCTAACAGCCAATCAGGAGTTGATTGCCTTTGTTGTCCCTTTGACAACTAGCCTGAAGAACGGCTATCAGCCAATCAGGATCTTGCTGCCTTCATTGTTTCCGATGTGGGGGAAAGGCTCAGTGAGTCGCCGCTTCAGGTATTGGGCTGAAGTGGCAATTTCGGGAGGGGACAGAAAAAAGGGGCTGCCATGTTGATTAAATTGCCCCTCCCCCTTGTTAAAATTTTTGGAGGTTGCGCCGGTAATTTTGTACGGATCAGTTATTCCGCACAAACATAACAGCCTGCGCTTTGTCTCAGATGGAAGTCACCTGGAGATGAGCCTGCAGATCATCCCTGCATTATTTTGCCATTTATTAAATAATTCAATGAAGTGTTGCACATATGGCCTGGATTTTCAAATTGGCACATGAGTATGACAGCAGACACAAATCAGGGCTCACCTTCCGGGCCGGAGTGCGCGTCCCGATTCAGCTGCAGCGGACCTGAATCACACTGATGCGGATGATGTAATGAGTACTGTACCTGCGGATGATGTAATGAGTACTGTACCTGTCCCCACCCCCACCCCCTTCCCATTAGGCCCCAGTACTACCTGTACGGAGGATTCCTGTTACAATCAGGGCGTGTGTCTGCAACAATGGGAGGGCTTCTCCTGCGACTGTACCATGACGTCCTACGGGGGCTCGTTCTGCAGCGACCGTGAGTAACCACCAACCCCCCCTATTCTTTTCACATTCTTCTCGCCCCATGGGCCAAAGACGAGGGAGGAGATCGCCCCCCCCCCCCCCCCGTGAAGGCCAGCCGTGCTGGGCGGTCCACAAACGGACCCCCCTCCCCCGGGGATTCTGGCTCCTCGTCCCCATGAAGGCCAGCCGTTGCGGGGCGGTCCACAAACAGACCCCCCCCAACAGGGCTGCTGTGGTACGGCCAGCCGCAAATGGCTGCTGCAGCTATTGAGTGTGACGAGCGGCCTAACACGCCCAACAAGCCCGCAGTAAGACGCGGGACGAGGTAAAACCCTCATATGGGGGAGACCTGATACTAAGTGCCTGCTTCTTTGTGACGGTTTGGCATTTTCTATGATCTATCCTGGGTCGATCCTGATGTTGTTTCTTACTAAATAAGAGCTTAGTTGGGCCATTTGTTCTAATGCATCTTCTGAAGTTAAACGTATTTCAAGCTCTCCATATTGCTGACTTTTTAGTGGGGAGGGCAATGCAGCTCATTCAAACTATAAAAAAATAACTGCTTCAGTGACATTTAATTATTTTTTCCCGGGCACCTGGAAGTAGTAACGCATATTTTAGCATATCAAAGTGTGATTATGCATGGATTTAACTTCACCAACAATATGTGATCCGGCTCTGTTTGATGTTGTGGGGAAGGTGCCGTTTTGATGTGTTTTTTCCAGCCGTACAGCCGCACTTTGCTCTTCCAGTGTCTCAGATGCTACGTTTTGCAATGCGCTTCCCATCCCGTTCGCGGGTGGAGGGCCGGGGCGCCTTGTTCCCCGTCCTTCCTCCGCGCTCCACGGAGAACGTGCTGAGCCACTGAACTAATGACGAAATTAAAACGGGTCCGCGGCACGGCGCCCAGAAAGCGTGCTGTCCGCGTTAGCCACCACGGCTAGCTCCGAGCCTTACCGTATCGCTTCAGTCAGTTCGAGGGGTCAGTTCGGAATAAAGGGCTTTTTTGGGCACTGGAATGAACCATAGACTTCAAGGAGGGAGGGGGGGGGCATGCAGGCTTGTGCCTGGGTAACTTTTGTAGTATAATTAAGAATGTAGTGATAAAAACTCATGAAAAATCTGCATACTAATAATTGAAACTTATTAGAAAAGCCTGAATTATATCCATGTTTTTTGAAACAGAAGGTTATATCTGATTATATCTGTTTGTTCCCACCGTTTAATCGTGTTCCGCGACCCACAATTCAAACATGTCGCCTTTATTGTCTATGATGGTGAAAGATGAATTTATATCTTAGCAGTGTTTCGCCGTAGTGATGTTTGCCTGGCAGGAGGACGCGACGCCCGATAATCCGCAGTGTTACGTGTTTCTTCCGGAAGTCAGCGAGGTGCGTAATGCACACACGCTCCCTTGGCATGAGTGGGAGGTTGTCTTCACGCCCCACACATCGCCGTCGGGGGGGTTCGCAGACGAGCCTGATCCAGACGACCGGCGGCGTGTCCGTCACTGACACCTCGACAGCCTCTAGGTCGCCGTAACGCTCTGCCCCAAGACACAGCAGATTCCCAGCTCAAAATAAGTGCCATCGCACAGAACATGCCATCCACATTTAGAAAGCGGGACTATTTGCGTTTTTAGTCTGCAGGATAAACCAGGGATTTAAACCGTGTTTTTTCTCTTAGCTGCACAATTCAGAATCGCGTCATAAGCAATTGGTAGCCTGTACTAACAGGGCCCTGTTTTATGGTTCAGATTACCCAGACTTCATAGGTCTCTTGCATCTCCACGTTCTTACTGATTGGTCCACATTCTCTCTGATTGGTCCAAGTTCTCTCTGACTGCTCCACATTCTCTGTGATTGGTCCATATTCCCTCTGATTGGTCCACATTCTCTGTGATTGGTCCACGTTCTCTCTGATTGGTCCACATTCCACAAGTAGTAAATGCCCTGTAGGTCCAGTTTTGCAGTAGGTAGAGAGCGCTTGCAAGCCTGCTAACTGAAGGGAGAAGGCTTGCTTACGTCCGTCCAAATGCTCTCTTCTTTATTGGCTTTTCTTTGTTACTTATTTCTTTTTACAAGGTAAGAAGAAGTCAAGCGTATCGGACAATTTGCGCAACTGCAGGTGTTAGATTCTCCTAAACTCCTGTTAGCTGAAATCTAATTAGCTGTTTTTTTTTTCCTGTTAAATGATGAGAAACAAAAGATGTCCAAAAAATTACCTGCACAGTCACAAAATAGTGCCGCCTGTTTTTGTTAATGTGCAGCAGAGTGAAAACAGAAGCACTGCTTTGACCGCGGACGTTAAACTATGGCCTCAGTGCCGGTGGTCCTTCTCGTCACCAACACACGGACTTAACGTCGTCTTTTCACTCTCGCTGCTTGACCGCGGACGTTAAACGATGGCCTCAGTGCCGGGGGTCCTTCTCGTCACCAACACACGGACTTAATGTCGTCTTTTCACTCTCGCTGCTTGACCGCGGACGTTAAATGATGGCCTCAGTGCCGGGGGTCCTTCTCGTCACCAACACACCAACTTAACGTCGTCTTTTCACTCTCACTGCTTGACCGCGGACGTTAAACGATGGCCTCAGTGCCGGGGTCCTTCTCGTCACCAACACACCGACTTTCACTCTGAGCTTCATATTTTTTGTTTTGTTTTACTCCACCAACTCTGCCAGATGGGAAGCTTGAAAATTCACTTTGAACTCATTAAAAACAAGTTTATTCCACTATTAGAGGTAAATCCTGGAATCCTTCTGCTTAGAAGATCTACCAGCTCAGTACCTCATTGCTTCTCACGTGGCTGTTTGTGGTCCTAAAATGGACCAAACCACTTGGACCATTCTGTGGGGGGTGGAGGTGGGGGTTATATCTCTGGAATTTGAGCTGGGTCGCACACCCATATCATTCTGGTAAATGGCCTGCATGCGAAGCCTTAGCGTTGCTTCTGGAAGATTGGCAGCACAGTTCCGTGTGAAACCCTGGAAGTCGTCCCGTAGAACTGCTTGAATGTAAATAAGTCTGGCTGATGGCTGTCGTGTGTGTGTCACACACATCCGAGCTCCTGAGAGACGCACCCACTGTGGGACAGGCAGGATCTTCCTAAGGACGCACATATGGTGTGTGTCATTTGTATAATTAAAAATTCTCGTAAATACCCCGGAATATTTACCATTGCTCCCTGTGACGCGAGCGTCAGGCCATGTTTGTGACTGCCCGCTATCGCTAAGGTTGTGGGTATTTTTTCAGTTAATCCTACCAAACCCAAATCCCTTTTCGGTTTACGAAGTACAGGGAGGCATCATCAAGATGGGGAAAGTGATGCTCTTTCACAAGTTTGTTGGTCTTTATTAGCATCTTGTGGAGCGTATTACAGATGTGCTGCGTTTTCTTACCCCGATGTCTCATCAGAAGAGTCTGTCTCATCTGTTCTGACTTCCTTGTCTCGACATCAACTGGATAACTGCAGCTAATATTATTATGATGGATGGATGGATCCCTGCCTGCACATTTAGGGCAGTAACGGTTAATCTGCTATTTTTAAGAAAAACGAATTGGCAGCTATATTCTGCTTGTAGCACTTATTCTCAGTAAGCGGTATTGTACCCTGGTATAGGTGACTTTTACTCTTATATTGTAGTGTTACAGGACACTTATATTGTAGTGTTATTGTAGTATACTATGCGTTCCCACGTCCGGTGATATTTTGACAAATGCATTTGCGGAGGAAATACACAGAGATGGCCACTATGAGGCGCTACTGTGCGCAGCACAGGGGACAGAGGAAGTCGCCTTAAAACCAATACATGTCAACTTCCTGTCAAGTTTCCTTTATGGATTGCTGTATTCCCTCTAAAAGCCTGGCCTCCCTGTTCTGTCTCCCTGGACATTCTGGATCCATATGTAATGCAATATGCTCTCTCTCTCTCTCACTTAGGAATCGTTAGCGGTTTATTTATGCAGCTGTAATACACTGGGGTCGCGGATGCCTGAGAGATGGACTGGGGAGGGAGGAAGCGATCGATTGTGAGGCAGCGGCAGGGAAGTTGGGGGTTGTGTTGGGGTTTCGGCCATCTCCAGGCCTGCTGTCCTCTCCTTGCTTTTCTTTCGAGCTGGAAAGACACGACGTAAAAACAGAGGAATGCCACATGACTCCCATTGTCCTTGTCAGCAGACCAGTGGAGGTGGGACACCGTGGACATCGTTTGTTCAAGCGCAGGGAGTGTGGAGCGCTAGCGTTGTGATTTCGGGCTTCCCGAGTCTCCGAGAGCGGAGGGGAGGCCGTCCAATCAGTGTCTGCAGTCAGACAGGTGGGATTTGTGGGCAATGCATCGTGGGTCATCAGGGGAGAATGAGCGCCGGCACTAAATCTCGTCATCGGCGGCGATAGCGAGCCGACAGCAGAGAATACAGAACGAAGGAGTTTTTTCTGTGAGAAAAGAATGGCGAGATTCCTGAGCTGAGCCCTGGGCTGGCAGACAGCCTCCCTACTGACCCGACGGAGGCAATCGGGGAAGCGGGGGCAGCGTTCGCTGTCACAGCAGACGGGAGCACTGGGCAGCGCACTCCCCCCCTCATAACATTATCACAGGCTTTGATGACAGTTGTTGTTGTTAATTATGCTTCCAATCCATCACGTTTTCCCGCTCTCCAAACCACATGAGAGCTCTTGGGTGTCACTGAGCTAAATTGTGGGCTGCAGTTCGCTGCGTTTTTAAACTTTGCTCATTCTCATCGTCCTTTATCTGCCACAGGGGGGGTCTCTCTCCATTCCCCACCAGCTCTAATAGCTGCGTGGCTGTTTATGACACTGCTCCTCCTGTTGCTGTCGCTAAACCTTAGTAATGAATTTTGGGATAATTTGGATAGGGCAGGGGGACAGTAGGGACGTGGATACCCTGGCAGATTCGTGGAGGGGGGGGGGCACTTTACAGGGGCCCTGAAATATGTAAAGTTATACATTAAATTGGCCGAGGAGCCCAAGGTGACATTCTGCCAGGGGGCCCGG